TTTTTTTTTTTGGTGGGGCGGGGGGGGGGGGCTCGGAGAGGGTTTGGAGAGAAGAGGTGGGAAACCTTATATTAAACCAAGATAGTGGACCTCAGAACCTCGTGTCCACTTAGATTTCAAGTTCTGCTGCAGAGAACTTCATCACTTCCATCTTCAACAACTGTTTTCTACATCTTCAAAGGGTTTCGAGGTTATCTGTGTTGGGAGTTGGTAGCAAAATAGATCTCCAAAAGAGCACAAAAACAGAGGACAAAAAATCTGCTCCACTAACACACTAATTTCACTCAAGAAACACCTTTATATTTCATCAAAAATGATCACAATATCAAGGAATACAAGGGGAAGCTAATCTGAATTTTTCCAGCAAGAACAACTCACAAAATAAGCTATCAGACAGAGCTTCTGCTCTTGAACAGGCTACTGTTTTTTCTGGCAGCAACACTGTCTTTTTACTCTCTTTTTTCTGCACAGAAAACCACTCTACTTCTTGGGTAGCAACTCCACTCCTTTTATACTGATTTTTCTTAGCCAAAACACCTTGAATTTGGCCACTTCATGGCCGGCTGTCCTCAAGAAAAAACTGTTTGAATTCCCATGTAGCCATGAATGAACAAGCCTCCCAAGAACATGAATAGACCTCCCAAAATATTCTAGACATTTCTAGTGACTACCTTCTTCAAATACCATGACTTATCATAAACCTAAAAATACAAAAAACTACCTTTTAAAAATTGAGTTTATAAAAACAAACAATCTGTTTATACAGAAATGAACAGTACATCTCCAAATCTAAACAACTCAGGCGACTTGGTCTCCGTGGAACACCCAAAATCCCACAAGCAAAACCTATGTCGTTTTTGCAAACTATTTCAAGAACATTACCCACCTGGTTTTCTCAGAAAGGTATAATCTTCTAAACCATTCTCTCTAAGCACAAACTAGAACATGCAAAAGGGCACAGACAATCATTCTTACAGCTTAATCTACTCTTTTCCTTTCGTTTTTTTTTTTTTTTTTTTTATAGTTTTACTTGTTTTAACCTAAATCAAGGAAAATGAAACTATGCATCTTGTTATTTATTTTTCCTCTAGAATTGTTGCTTTTATTCAAATCAGGTTCCACAATCTTCTAAAGCAATCACAATAGAAGTTTTCTTCATTGTATTTGTCAATATCATGAACCACCACATGCGAGTGAAGAGGATGTGTAATGGTGCATAAGCATAAGCATAAACTTCAGACTCTCATTATATAACACATTCTAAAGTCATGCAAACTTAGCCTAAAATGAATAATATTATATAATGCGGGTCCGGAGCGTTACAATTGATATCAAAATCATTGACCCTCATGGTGTGGAGGTCACTTAAGCCTGTGCATCCCTAAGTGCATCCCTAAGTGCACCCCAATTTGTCGGGCTAGTGGTAGCTTGTGTGGTGGGAGTAATCCCTCGAAAGCTAAATCACGTTGTGCAAAGCCCAAATGAGGACGTTTGGGTTTTAAGGGTAGATTGTAATGATTCAATCCCACAATGAAACAGATGTCGCGTAGTGCATAAGTGTAAGGTTTACACCTTCATTGTGTAATGCGTTTGAAAATCATGCAAGTCTAGTACAAAGTGGACAAATAAAGAGCCCTTATTGAAAAATCACAATTAAACGAAATGTATCTATGATTTGATATGAAAGATTGACTTGCAAAATTCTCAAAATTTTTGTGTAAACTCTGTGTGTGTGTGTGTGTGTGTGTGTGTGGCAGGTAGTGGTGGAGACAATGGCAACGTATCTATTGGTGTTTGTGACGTGTGGTGCGGCTGCACTTAGTGCAAGCGATGAACACAAAGTATCACAACTAGGTGCGTCTGTGGCTGGTGGGCTTATAGTCACCGTCATGATATATGCTGTTGGACATATCTTTGGTGCACACATAAACATGCCATTTGAAATCCGGGATTTTGGATGACCCACTTCAGTAGTAGAAAAAATCTATGGTCATCACTACCATTACCAAAAAGAGTATGATATCATAATTATAGGTATACATACATGTAAACCGAAAATAATTAGAAGTGTGGATTGTTTATGTCCTTTGTTTACATTCCTACAGGCCCAACATCTCTGCAGATAATTCAATATTAATTAAGCTGGGATATTTAAATGAGCATCATATTCCATTATTCCTCCACAAACTTTGGTATTAAACACATTCAAGAGTAATACTTATCTCGATAAAATCAAAATCATTAAAGGGAGCACCGTGCAGGGCTGGGGGTGGGGGTATATATTGAGAGAAATAAAGTAAGAGTAAAGCTACCTGATCACGGAAACCAGCGAATTTGTAGTACAGACCATCCTTTATCCGGACTCCAAGCTGATTTGTCCGGGGCACTTTCATCCAGGTAAGGCTCACTACATCAGACTTACCAACTTCCATCCCTTTACCACCTCCTAGTTTCTTCCACAGTATACCCCCTGAATGAACCCTAAGTTGCCCTGGATTCTGCATAAGATCAAGACACACACACAGAAAGCCAACCATATTATATATAATATGCATGCAAGCATATCAGATAACTCCTAAGAACTCAAGAATAATCAATAATTTGACCACAGTTGGGGCAACACCACGTCCAACCCTAGTTTGAAGCCCTAAATTTCAGTTCATACATGAAATCAAATAAAACTTTGGGGTAAAAAATGAAAACAGCCATAGTCTCCGGACAATAAAGATTAAGTTCAAGTTCGTCTCCTCGATTCTCCTACAACTGCACAGTTCCACTAACACAGCATCGATAAAAACTTGAGTTCTAAAACGAAGACCTCGCAACCCCAGCATTAAAATTTTTAATATCGTCACGGAAAATGCCAAATGAAGACACCGAAAAAAACCGGAAACTTCTCATCGTATCTACGACCAATCATAACAAACTTTGGCAAAATCAATAGCAAAACCCTAGAAAAATCGTGAAATTAACCAAACCAAACCAAACCCAGGGATCAGCTAGAAAAATTAAAAAAAAAACACTAAACTGAAAAAGAAATCACACTTTGCACAGAAATGAAATAAACGAGCCTTCAAATTTGAATCTACACGCAAATCGCAATAAACAAGGGTTACGGTTTCCAAAACCAATAGCATAGAGAAACGGAAAACGAAACATATAGGNTGAATCTACACGCAAATCGCAATAAACAAGGGTTACGGTTTCCAAAACCAATAGCATAGAGAAACGGAAAACGAAACATATAGGAGGAGAATCCATTTTTCTGAGCTTCAAATTCGTTAGTATAATATATACATATATGTATATATATTGAGAGAGAGAACTGACAGTGCCCCCACCCCCCAGAGAGATATTGTTGAACAGGTGACCATCCGCCATAGCTTCGAATGAGCGAAACAGAGAGCGCGCGACACAGACAGTCGAAAACAGACAGAGAGAGAGTCTATATAGGCCACGTGGAGTGCGTACTCCGCTCCCTCGGGTGTGGCGCGAAAGAGGTAAATATAAGATCTGATGTGTTCCGTCCCTTAAAGTATACACTAGTTGACGGTCCACGGAATTTACTCTGATGTGGCATGTTATTATTGGCCACAGGGGTTACATGGAAGTGCTTGTAGTTAAAAAAAATAAATAAATACTAGGATAATCAAATGCCATAATTTTTTTTTAATTTTAAAAAAAAAATAAGAAGCTCAAGGACTAGGCCGCACGGGTCAATGACAAGAGCCCACTGGTTAAAGCCCAAGCATTACCCACTCTTCATTTGGGTCAAAATTGATGTCCTCAACTTGCTAAGGCTTTAGCCTCTTCAGAGGGTAAGGCCCAAGAAGGAAGTTGGTTTTTAATTGTTAGTAATTTCTTTTTTTGCATTTTTGCCCTTTTTATATTTTGTCGTCAAGAGTCAAAACTTACTTCATTCATCTAACCTTACCTTTATCTAAATACGCATTTCAAATTTATTATACGTAAATCATAATGCAGTTAAACTACTCTTACAAAATAGTAATTAAATCTTACAAGTGCACTAGCTAATTAGTTTTGTATAGAATAGTAGGTAGAGTAAAATCCAGTGAATTTTATTCAGGTTACTTATTTTTTATTTTGTTAACGAGGAAGGTCACTGCAGACCCATTTCTACGAGAGTAAACTCAAAATACTTACAATCACTTGTAAATCACAAATACCAATTAAGTTTGAGACACCTGTAAGAGTCGAACCCCTAATATTCGAGTCTATGGTTCTTCCAACTTCAACCCCACTTTGTTGGACTACCTATGCGGATTATCCAAGTTATTTTTACTCAAAAAACACTTAACCTCCAATATTAAAGACCTAACCTTGTGGTTTTGAATTAAACAGTGAATAGCATTAACAATGTAACATAAAACACAGTAACACCCTTCATCTTCCCCCCCCCCCTGCGGGTTTTATAACTTTTTATTTTGTATTGACTTTACTCAAATATAAAATTTATAAACGGAAGAGAATATTTAGAACAAAAAAAATTAGAAATAGATTTTTATAAAAGTGGTCTTGTCACGTTATTTAGCTAGCCTTCTGATATTTGGTGGTTAGTTTAGTTTCAATGAAATTTCTAACAGTTTTAGCTTAGTCCACAATCAGATAATATTATGCCTAAGTTTCTACTGTATAACGAAGTAATGTGTTACCGGGCCAAAAATCCACATTGAACAAGTCTTTTATTTGGCCAATATCATATCAGTTGTCTCCCTAGAAAACATCACCATTTAGAACTCCTCGGCTGGAGCAAACTCTTCCTCCGAAAACAAAACAAAAAAACCTCTGAACTTAACAAGGAAATGCTTGAAGTATGTGCTATGCTACTATGTTTTGTTTAGTTTCACAGCAGCATATGATTCATATGCTAGTTCACTTATCACAAAAAAACAAATAAGTCGAAGCATTGAGGAGAATTCTAATCTGTACTATACCATAAAATTGTTTGATATAGAAGAAACCTGTCAGCGTCAATCCAGAAAACTCCAACCCCTGATTTTCCATCGTTTTGTTCTTTGTTCTGACTAGGCCTTCTTTTGTGCTTCCTGCTCAAAAAGCCAATTTAAGTATCAGCCAAGAATATAAAGCTAAACATAGGAGCAACAGGGAACAAATTTGTATTTACAATCATCTTAGAAGTCCCCGATTGGTAATTATATTTCACGATGATCTTCCAATTCACCGGATGAACTATCAGAAATGGTTGAACTAACGATGATGATGTTGCGCTAATACAATCAGATGACATACATGAATAAACTAGACAAACTTAATTATCTGGTAATCTCATCACATTTTAAGCTCTAAAATATGATGAAAACATTTTAATGACAATAACAAGAAGATAATGTGGTAAGAATTATCCGTTGGATGCAAACTGTGGGTCTTTTGGTAGCCAACCAAAGCATGCTACAAAATGGTTAAGAAATAATAATATTGCTTGAGTGATTGAATTACCTCTGATTGCATTTGAAATGGCAGAACCACCCCCTCAAGCTCACTTACCATTGACTTATTACATCTGACTGGCTACATTAACGATTCCAACCATGAAAACTACTTTTGGCTGCTTGGGCAGGCAAACAGTGCACTGACATAATAGAGTTGTCTTAAGTTGGCCCAAGAGCATTGTCTTCATCACCGCCCCCGTCTGTGTGTAAAATCCAGTTGTAACAAGAAGACACAAAACATAATAAATCCAAAAGAAGCCCACAGATTATAAATAGGCACCAGCTAATCTTATTGAAAGCCAAGCACATACAAGCTAAACACATCAAAAGAGGAGCATTAGAAGCAACTGAAGAAAGAAAGCATCAAGCATAGAGCAGAATATATGGAAATGGCGATTGCAAAGAATGAAGAAAACCCTGGAAGGCGCCGCATGAGCTTGGTGGATAGCGAGGTGCCAGAAGGAAGGTGTGCTAAGAGACGAAGAAGAGATACACCTGCAGTTACCCTCAGCTGTGATAACCAACAAACACAGCAGCAACAGCCAAATCAACAAGTTGATCAAACATCAGCTCCTACAACTGTGAAGCGAAGTTCAAGATTTCGGGGTGTCAGCAAGCATAGATGGACTGGCCGATATGAAGCACACTTGTGGGATAAACTTTCATGGAATGTAACACAGAAAAAGAAAGGAAAACAAGGTAGATAACTGTCACTGTTCTTGCATCATTTCATATTTTTCTACCAAAATGATAATGCCTAATAACAATGTTTCTGTTGTCTTCCATCTGACTGCAATTTGGTTGGAATGGNAAAAGAAAGGAAAACAAGGTAGATAACTGTCACTGTTCTTGCATCATTTCATATTTTTCTACCAAAATGATAGTGCCTAATAACAATGTTTCTGTTGTCTTCCATCTGACTGCAATTTGGTTGGAATGGACATTTGGGACTGGACAGTTTATCTTGGTGAGTACTTTTTGATTCAGGGTTTTATGTTCAAAGTTTCCTTATATTACCTTGTTTACCTTATCAGTTGTATAAATTAAAATTAACACTGCCCCTTTTTCTCCAAAATTTTTAGGAGCTTATGATGAAGAAGAATCTGCAGCAAGAGCATATGATTTAGCTGCACTTAAATACTGGGAGACATCAACTTTCACCAATTTCCCGGTATATTTGTCAGCTCTTCTATATAAATAATAGACACATGTATTTATGTTTGCAATAGATCTGATTTTCAATTCTAATCAATACCCTTGGAATTTTTGGCAGATCTCTGATTATGAAAACGAAATTGAAATAATGCAGACTGTAACAAAAGAAGAGTACCTAGCCTCACTAAGAAGGTAAACTTCAAATACATAATCTGTTGTAATAAAGGTTCTTCATGACCAGTTCCAGGAGTTAACATAGATTGGGTTGCCATTCTTACAGAAAGAGCAGTGGCTTTTCGAGGGGGATATCCAAGTACAGGGGAGTTGCAAGGTATATCATTGAGTACATAACACTGAAGCAACTCCATTATTACTAATGAGATAGTGGATTATTCTAAAATGTTGTTTGGGGGCCAAAATGTAGGCACCATCACAATGGGAGATGGGAAGCAAGGATAGGGAGAGTTTTTGGAAATAAATATCTCTATCTTGGCACTTACAGTAAGTTGCATCTTAACCAACCCTTGTGATCTTGCCTTGTATCATCACAAAAGAAGCAAGCTTAACATGGATGAATAAAGAATAAAAACAATATAAGCAACTGTTTCTGTTTACCTAAGCGGCGCATCTCTTCATAGGTACCCAAGAGGAGGCTGCTCATGCATATGACATTGCAGCTATCGAGTACAAAGGAATTAACGCCGTGACCAACTTTGACTTGAGCACTTATATCAGATGGTTGAAGCCAGGAGCAAACACTCCTGTTGCTGCTCAGGAACCACTGACGAACATGGAGACTCAGCCAGTGCAACCGTCTACCTTCAATTCTGGCAAGGAATCTCAGCCGTTCTTCCACACTAAGGAATTCACTGTAGATGAACAGAGCTATCCCCAAAAGCAAGAATTGTTCCAAGGAAAATTCCCTGCGAGTTCATGCAAAACATCTTCTTCTCCAACAGCCCTCGGACTACTCCTTAGGTCCTCAATATTTAGAGAATTGGTGGAGAAGAATTCAAGTGTCTCTGAAGAAGAAAATCTTGCAGAAGATGCAAAGGACCAACGACAGAAGGGTAGTGATGATGACCATGCTGGGATATTTTATGAAGGAACTGGGGATGCCCCATTTGTGCTTTCGTCTAATGGTCATGATGTTGAGTTGCAAGGAGATTTCCACTTCAGTTACAATCGGCATAGTAATCCACTCGGAACAACGTTATAAACATGATTTCTTCTGCTCATTAGCAAGGATAGATGCCTTAAATAACTGGTATTGCTTTCTGTAAGAATTTTGTGAATCAGAGTCTTCCTTAAATGACATTGAAAGGAAATACTTCTATTCCCTTTTTTGATTCCTCTGGTTAAGTAGGCATAGATTGCTCTCAATCTATAGAACTATTATCAGTCATGCACACAGGGAACCTAGCAACATTAATTATTTGAATCCTTCAATTACACAGCATGTCAGCAACCTTGTTTCAATTCAACTATGAAGAGGGAAAAGGGAAAAAGCCAAAATCTACAAACATCAAACTGAACTGGGAACTATTCTGAAGCAGAGGTAATATTTCATCTGCATCAAAAAATAAGAAGAAAAATTCCAGTTTTTTGCTTTCAAATGGCGTATTCCACAGTGAAGACAAAATTTTGAGACGTTGAGAAAGAAATGTGTTTCCATCAACATGCATCCATGTTTGCATGCTCATGAATAACACAAAAAACATGTCTACTTTACTTCCAAATCAACAATGTGAATAACTCTACCTAGACAAATACAAGTCAAAATGTATTGTAGCTAGCCAAGGCCAACTGTCACAACATGTTATTCAGTTCTTTACACGATTTCATTTTTCAGCCATAAAGAGAGCAAGTAGGAGCATGGCAAGATCACTCCTACTATCCACACTTATAACTTCATGAGAGCAAGGATTGAGATGGGCGATCAATCCAGGGGTTTGTAATTGACAGTAGAAGCAAGACAATATTTTAACCAATACACTTGGTACTTTAGAACCGATTGTCGTAACTCCTACATCAGAAACCTAAAGTCAGCAATGTGACTTCTGTTCCTGGTGGCGAGCTAGAAATGTTTAAATTATTTGGAATTAAAGAAATTCTGAATTTAAATATTTAAATTCTGGCTGTACACGGGAAAATGAAATTCTCAACAATGTTTCCATGAAATCAGATAACTACTCCTCTCACTGCACGACCCTTATCTAGCCAACGCTACAATTTTTTTTTTTTTTTGCAAATGTAAAGATGAAGAAAGCAATTATATCGCCAATTTGTTACGGCAACAAAGAATCAAATTTTCATTATATTTATTGTTTTTTCTACTTCTTCTTCCAAGTGTTGGATAACTCTTAAGGGATTGCGGGTTTTTTTCTACCAATTGAAGCCCTCCCTTCACCACATCCTCTCATAATCTTCGAATCCAAATACTCGCGATCAACTATAGTTATCAAACAAGTTCCTACTAGAAGTTTACGAAGTAATGGCAAAAGAACAAATCACGCAATTGCTAATTTCATTTCATACGTCTTAAACCTCAAAGACTTATCACCCAGCAACAACCATTATAATTAACAACAACCATTATCTTTAACCTCATCCATAAAAAGTCCTCTCTATTGAACAATCCATAAAAGTCACCCATTATTGTTGTTACTATCCGAACCATATATATGTATGAACTGTATAATCAACGAATTCTCAAAAGGAATAGGAATTCTCAAAGAGGGCACAAATCACAAGAAGAACCTGATAAGCAAAATTCAAACCAATGACGCCAAGTCCGAGAGCAAGGCCTTTTGAGACTTGAGTCAGCCGTGCGCTGCTGGAAAAATGAAACTCGCTTTTTGGCAACACCCCATCACCGGACAATGACAGTCCATAATCCACAGGTCCAACATCCAAAATCAATCCATGAATGACGATCTTTTCCGGTCCAGATAATCCAAAACACTATGTAAAACCCAGAGATGATTTGTCGGGACTACAACTATTAGCATAAGGCTTTCATAGGGAGCCCAAATTCAGAAAATATACGAAAATTCCGTTGGCAGGTTTTTCTTTTGGGTGAATCATGCTTTGTACCGAAAGATTTTAAAATTCTTAATTTATACCCCCAATAATTAGTTTTTTCACATTACATTATCAATGTTATAAAATAATTGCAATGTGAGTCCTCACACTCACTTCCGTTGTCATCTCTTTCAAATCTTATTGTATTTAGTGTGGGGTCACATAACCGATTTGATGAAAATTGTAAAGAAAGTTAGTGTGAGGAGGATTANTCTTTTTTTGCATTTTTGCCCTTTTTATATTTTGTCGTCAAGAGTCAAAACTTACTTCATTCATCTAACCTTACCTTTATCTAAATACGCATTTCAAATTTATTATACGTAAATCATAATGCAGTTAAACTACTCTTACAAAATAGTAATTAAATCTTACAAGTGCACTAGCTAATTAGTTTTGTATAGAATAGTAGGTAGAGTAAAATCCAGTGAATTTTATTCAGGTTACTTATTTTTTATTTTGTTAACGAGGAAGGTCACTGCAGACCCATTTCTACGAGAGTAAACTCAAAATACTTACAATCACTTGTAAATCACAAATACCAATTAAGTTTGAGACACCTGTAAGAGTCGAACCCCTAATATTCGAGTCTATTGTTCTTCCAACTTCAACCCCACTTTGTTGGACTACCTGTGCGGATTATCCAAGTTATTTTTACTCAAAAAACACTTAACCTCCAATATTAAAGACCTAACCTTGTGGTTTTGAATTAAACAGTGAATAGCATTAACAATGTAACATAAAACACAGTAACACCCTTCATCTTCCCCCCCCCCCTGCGGGTTTTATAACTTTTTATTTTGTATTGACTTTACTCAAATATAAAATTTATAAACGGAAGAGAATATTTAGAACAAAAAAAATTAGAAATAGATTTTTATAAAAGTGGTCTTGTCACGTTATTTAGCTAGCCTTCTGATATTTGGTGGTTAGTTTAGTTTCAATGAAATTTCTAACAGTTTTAGCTTAGTCCACAATCAGATAATATTATGCCTAAGTTTCTACTGTATAACGAAGTAATGTGTTACCGGGCCAAAAATCCACATTGAACAAGTCTTTTATTTGGCCAATATCATATCAGTTGTCTCCCTAGAAAACATCACCATTTAGAACTCCTCGGCTGGAGCAAACTCTTCCTCCGAAAACAAAACAAAAAAACCTCTGAACTTAACAAGGAAATGCTTGAAGTATGTGCTATGCTACTATGTTTTGTTTAGTTTCACAGCAGCATATGATTCATATGCTAGTTCACTTATCACAAAAAAACAAATAAGTCGAAGCATTGAGGAGAATTCTAATCTGTACTATACCATAAAATTGTTTGATATAGAAGAAACCTGTCAGCGTCAATCCAGAAAACTCCAACCCCTGATTTTCCATCGTTTTGTTCTTTGTTCTGACTAGGCCTTCTTTTGTGCTTCCTGCTCAAAAAGCCCATTTAAGTATCAGCCAAGAATATAAAGCTAAACATAGGAGCAACAGGGAACAAATTTGTATTTACAATCATCTTAGAAGTCCCCGATTGGTAATTATATTTCACGATGATCTTCCAATTCACCGGATGAACTATCAGAAATGGTTGAACTAACGATGATGATGTTGCGCTAATACAATCAGATGACATACATGAATAAACTAGACAANCCATCATAATTATATTTTGCATATATTCGGACAAATATCATTATTTTAAAAATTATTTAACAAGTAAAACCCCGCAAAAATCCATAAAAATATTCACAAAAACCAAAACCACCAACTCCAACAATTTATTGATCTACCTCCCAATAAACAAAAAATTAAATTTTTTTATACCTATTGTTACATCACGGATTCGAATAGGTAAAAAATTCAAATATGAATCTGTGCAAAATTCAAAAATATCTACCAATTCTCTCTCCAAATCATCACCAGAAAATAACTTTATACACTGATTATAACTTTGCTAGAATTAAATGACACATTCTACATACATTGATGAATCTCATCACAAGATCTCGCCCTCCAAGCGAGGAACCAAACATACAGATAAGCACTTCTTTCAAAAACATGCTCAAAATCCATGGGAACAGGATTTACAACAAAATTCGTAATGCCATAAATTCCTTTTCGAACGCCTTATGAAGCACCTAAAATATGAAAACAACACTATCATGCACCCTCGACTTCTGGTTCTAAGCCACACATTCTGATATCCACATCAGGTTCCGGATCTCTTACTCCCTCAACCGTAGATATGCAAAGAACACAGCATAGTGGAACTGCAAGCCCAGAAAGGAAAACAGACACTCCATCATAAATAGAACTATTGGGGAGAAACTGACTAGCTTACAAACCAACCAAAAATAGTTTTGAATTTTGTGAAGATGCTGTTGTTAGAGTAGTTAGTATATTTACACTTAGGGGTAACTTAGTCATTTGTTTTCTTTTTATGTTGCCCTAACTTAGTCTATTTGTTTTCTTTTTACCCTACTATATAAAAACCTCTTATATAGTAGTTTTTCTTTAAGGTTGTTCGGGCTTATTGTGCCTCAATAATATTCTCTCCTTCTTTCTCTTACTTTTCTACGATTGATCAAAATCAACATGGTATCAGAGGTAACATGGTTCTAAAGGCTGTGAGCAGTACTGATGTACTGTTCACTCGATGAACAGTGCCGAAGTTACTGTTCACGAGCTGTGAACAATGCCGAAGTTACTGTTCGTGCTGTGAACAGTGCCGAAATTACTGTTCATATTGTGAACAGTGCCGAATTTCGATGTTTAGTGTCATTTTTGCTATATTGTTGTGTAAGAAACCTCAATTTGTTATGGGTATTTGATTTGCAAAGTTGTTGAATTAATTTGTGGCAAATTTTGGATTGCTTGGCATTGGCTGTTTCTTTTGGTTCTCTATTGGCTTCACTGATGCCTTCTTCTTTCTGTTTTGTGATTGGATTTGTGTTCCCCTGTGTGTCAGCTGGCTGTTTCTGTGCCTTCGTTCCTACGTCTTTCTCAGTGAACCAATTGCTACATAGATTGCTAGTTCTGGTTGTTGGGTTTGCTGTCTCTTCTCTTCTGCTGGTGCTTCTTGTTGCAAGGTAAGAAATCCTAATTCCTTTTGGCATTCTTCTCTTTGTCTAATTTGGGCCTCTCTCT